CGCTGCCTGGAGGCCAACCACCCTCCCAAGCCGTTCTCATGGCCAGTGTAAGTCTCCCCCTCTATGCACGGGACACATCTTCCTCTCGAGTGGGGAGCACTGCAGTGCTCGGCGACGTAGGTACCTGTGGGAGAGGAGAGCCTGCAGCAGCCCCACCGGGTGTTACAGCACTCGGCCGCTCCGGGAGGCAGCTCAAGCCCTCCGGGCGAGTGCCGGCGCAGCAGGGCGGAGACACGTTCCCAGATCCCCGCACACAGGGAGCCGTGGCCAGCGAGGCCCCGCCGAGGGCACTGACTCGCTGCGGGTCACCCCTGTGGCCAGCGCCATCTCTGAAGGAACACAGAATGGGCTGGAGAACAGCTGGTTCTCTGCTCCTTGGCCCAACTGATCATTAAATACACCCCATACCCTCCGATACTACCTAAGGGCAGGTTTCTTGGCACAGAGCTCCTTAACTCTGCACACATGGAGCAAGAGGGAAGAGCAGAAGCAAACCAAAGTTCTACCTACAGATACAGAAATATTCAAATTCCCCTGGGCCTGTTCTTTGTGTTAACTTAAAAAAAAAAACCACACACCACAAAGCAACACACCACCAGCCCCCAGCTTTGAACACCCTCGACAGCAGGCAGAAGGCTCTCTGCCTTGCTCACTGCCAACGCCCCTCTCCCAGTCAGCTCCTGTTGCTCAATGGGTGCTCGCTTCAAACCGGAGCTCAACCTTCACAGCACCGAGATGCCACCACAGCTCCAGCCGTGCCCTGCACTTTCACCGGACGTGAGCTAGAAACCGACGGTGATGCAATCAGTTCCCCAGGGAAAACCCGGCCCTGGCTGCCCCAGCTCTCACCTGCTGGGCAAGAGATGCAGCAGAGACCTTCGTGCAAGTAGGTGCCCTGCCCGCAGTGCTGCTCTGCTCCCGTCCCGAGCCTCAGCAGCAGCGTGACCTGCAGCGGAGACAAACAGGCACGGGTGATTCATTCATCCTCCCGGGAGCCGATAACCATCGCGGGGAGACGTTCCCGCGAGGACTTGGAAACACGTTCGGAAGTTTACCCAAAGCCACAAAAGGAAAACCAAACTAATTTCTGCTAAGTGTGCCGCTCGCCGTGCTAATTGCGATCACAAAGCCGGGGTGAGAGCAGCGGCTCACAGATTTTAGGCAACTGTTGCCCCAGATCCCTGCCTCCATTTTAAACTTCTGTGCTCTTTGTATTAATTCACTGCACTTGAACCTCGGCGGCTGAGGTTTCTGCCAGGGGCGAGGGACTCGGTTGTGCCTCCTCTCATCTTCTTAATTCAGGAGGGTCGGTGTCGATCTTCCTCCAGCAAAACGGAGGAAACGCCCCAGAGACCTCATCCAACACTTCTCCCCGGCTCCGCAATCTTAAGCAGAAAACGAGGAGTTGCGTCGCCACCAGACCCGACCCACCGTAGGAGAGGAGCGG